TCCTAACCAGCGAAGACGCCCTGCGTGTCAACAGAGACCTTCACGTCAGCGCAGCCGTGCGTTCGGCTGGAGTCCTGGACCTGAAGCGGTGCTGTTTATAATCGGGCCACAGACCGAGCATCCTTCAGCAGGCACCCCGCCGTAAACTCCAGAAAGGTTGTTAGAAAATTCCTCCCACCCGTGTTTGGTCTGACATTTGTTGCTCTTTCCTTCCTTGAGATCTTTGAGGCCCTACAACTCTGGTGGCCGTTTCAGTCACAGCTTAGGCATCTGAAACGCTCTTCAGAAGAACTTGAGCACATCATTACCGTTCGTATTACACGGATGAGTCGAATGAACGCGGTTTCATGACGTTAATTAAAACAGCATGTAAACAAAACAAATGTTATCCAGTGGAAACTTGCGCCGGTCATATTTTCATGTGAACTGGGCCGGTTAACACATAAACGATTAACTATTGTGTGTCAAGAGCCAACAATGCTGCAAATAATTGTTTTGGGTATGTGCTCATCACTGCTGATAAAAGTTCAAAAGAAAACTGATTTAGCTAAGCAGGAACTAAACTCATAAATTTGTAGTGTCTATTCGACTTTAGATTTAGTCCTGGATTATCATCAGCTCTTGACAATAATCTGAAAGTTTATTTTCCTCACATTAAAATTTCTGTGAGATAATTAAAACTGTATGCGTCTAAAGTTTAAATGTCCTTCAAAATAATTCACTTGGCACACGTTTTATTGCATTTTGTTTAGAACACTAAATTGATCTTTAAAGTAATATTGATTTTGAAGTAGGGTTCTGTGGAAAGGTTATGAAGAGTTAATATTTTACCTGTAGCAGATAGCTCTTTGAACGACATCGGTTTGGGGGAAAGGGGTTTAATTTTGACAGGATTGATGAGCTAATGGCTAGTCAGAGCAGAGCCAAATTCAAAGTAGACTGCTGTCACCTTAAAACTACTATACAGTCTCAAATATTTAATTAAACTTTTTCTATAGACTTGTGAACCTTTATGTGGACATCACTTTTATATTACAAGGTTATTTACATAGAATCTTTTCGGCTGTTTGCAAAAACACAAATAACAGTAGCAGCTACCTGTAGCACTTCCTGTGCAGCCCAGGTCACCTCTCACAGAAATAACATTTCTGCTGGAACATTCATGTTGCGTTGAAATAACCGGAGGTATAAAGGTTTATAGAACAACGATTGTGTGACTGCTGTGAAAGTGTTGAAACTTGAACCGGTTTACGACGGCAGCAGTCCACTCTGGTCTTGACCAGAGGTGGGCAACATTTTTTTCCAAAGAGCCGCAAAGACGTTTAAAGCAATTAAAGGGCTGCATACAGAATTATAAAATAAATGTTCTTTATGACGGATAATCTAGAAGACCTTTGTCAGCCTTTGTCTTGTTGTTGCTTAGTTAGCACGCTTTATAAAACAAGTCTTTCCAATATCCTTTAGGAATATAAGACATATTCTGTAAACTGGCTCTTGTGATAATTATTATAGATTGAGTTGAATTATTATATTATACATGTTAGCTTAACATGTTGTATATGTTAGTGGAAATATGCAAAATAAACGTATATATTTTCTAGTTCTGGAAACATAATGACTTAAAAATGTTTGTTTTTTTAAGTTTTGCATAAGATGTTTCATTTAAATTTCCTTAAGTCTTTTTGATAACTTGCTGTTTTTTTTTTTTTTTTATTAATCTTTTGTTTTTAAATAAACTAAGGTTAATGGGGCCTGATGGAGATAGCCCAAGCACCGCTTTTGGCCCTCAGGCCTTAAGTTGCCCACGTCTGGTCTCGACCCTGCTCAGACTAGCCATTAGCTCATGAGTCCAGACGGGACTCATTTTAATTTCTCCAAGCTGAGGTTGTTCAAAAACCTTTAAACAACAGGTAAGATATTACTTATTGATACCTTTACTTTACATTAAAAGATCTGAACCGTCCTTTTTTTAATTACTTTACTTCTTTCGGGCCACTACAAACAATGGAGGTCCTATTTCTGACCTCACAAACTAATACATTTAGAAATGAGTCAGACTCTGGTGCGTAACGAGCTCCAAATCCGAATCCAAGTTTAAACGTGTGCATTTTTGTCACCGTGCCATCACATCACCTTGCACCTGCCACGTCAACTGGCCCTTAATCCGCAACATACTCCAAGTCATCTGACCAGCAGTCTGGTGGAGCCACTTCCCTTCAGCGGCCCTCACTTCAAACACGGCGACTCAGATATCACCAAAACCCCAAACAGTAACTCTACACTCCTCATCATAACAACTCGCACACAAGGACCCCCTCCCACCGCCGCTTGGCACACTCGGAAGGGCAGAGTTACAAGTCACAACGATTCGAGTCAAGTAATGCGTTTTGATAATGGATTAATCAGAGAAACTACCCTTCAGAAACCGTAATCTAAGTCTCTTTTTTATTATTTTAGAAATAATCATAAATCAAACTTGTGGGAAAAACAATCCAATCCTTAAATATAACACAACTGGAGCTGCCACAATGCACCAAATGGGCTATTTAAGATAAATGGATAAAATAATTTCTAGTGATAATGCTGAAGCTTTAAAAACGTGTACCTGGCTGTTTACCACAGCCATTACAAACAAAAACATGATGCACGAGATGCAACGAGAAGGTTTGGACATGAGACTCTGGAAGCAGAACAGAAGGATCTTTGAGCATCTTTAGACAGCACTCATGATAAACGGAGCACCGTCCATTTGCAATCATCACACAAATTGTAAAATACTCCAATAAACTGGCCGCAAAGACAGATGTGTGGTTGGACAGAGGCTGAATCGGAGTCAATTCAGTGACGTGCCACTGGAAATAAAGAGATAATAAAGCATTAAACCTGTGCTGGCAGCCTGAAGGAGCCACAGAGCAGCGTTTGACTGCACGCTCACAACTAGTCCAGTGACACACTTTCACATCTCAACTCAGGGGCACGCCACTGACGCAGACTAGCCCCGCTGAAGAGATCCACGGAAAACTCAATGCAGAGCGGAGGGAATCACCTCTGCAAACAGCAACATGAATGGTCACTGTTGTGTCCACGTGAGCAGAGCCTGCCTGACGAGCTCGCTCGCCGTTCCAACCAAACCCAGTCTGCTCCTCTCGCTGCAAGTGTATTTTCCACACGCTCTATTCTCCGAGCGCCCAACTCCCATCATGCTCGCGCGCTCTGCTGCGTTTAGAAGCTGCGTCCTTGGACGCGGTGAGAGTTAAAAAGCAGCCTAATTACACTTCATTGGTGTGGACAGATAGCAAAACGAACAGGAAGTTTTTAACCCATACATAGAGCTCATGGAGAGTTGGGATTTTCCACTAAGTGATGACAGAGGCTGGAAACCTCTGCAGCTCATGGAAGTAAACATCATCCACGAGGGGCAAATTACTGACATCTATCTGGCTGTTTTCCAGTCTTTATCACTGAATTCTTTATTTGTGGAAGGGCTGATATATCGTACCGCACAGCTTCGTGGTACGAGGGCAACAACTTGCTCCTGAGCCTTCCTGACTGCATTCATGAGTTCCCCACTGATCTTAGAAGGGTTCAAATAACACGACGAAGGTCAACTCACCGGGCAGAAGGATCAAATTAAATGTTTTTATTCATTTGAATAACAACAGAGGTCAGTGTATGCGTCTCCTTTTCATGCCGAGAAGTTCCCACCGTTAAAGTAAAGCGAAATGATTTTTTTGATTGTGTGACGTTGCTGGAAACAAAGCCATGCTGTTCGAGTTACGCACACAATCACAATCTTTGGGCTGCAGGCCCAACGGATACACCCAGAGCTGCTTCATGGGTGACGTCCGATGTCAAAATAATGAATAAAATGTGTCACGGATCAAACGTACCACGATTAGGAGTTTTGAAGAAGATTCTGGTTGACAGATATGAAGCACGGGAAACTCCAACCGTCTTTTTTAGTTTAAATCAAATTCATCTTTCAGCTAAAAAATCTTTGGCAAGTTCTGTATTGTATTTAAAATCAGCATGCTGAATTAACTAAGTCGTAGCTTGTGTTGACGAAGTGGATGTTTTAAACATATCAGGGGTTTGTTTTCGAACAGAAAGACATTTACAAAGTTTTGTTTTTAATGCACATAAAAACTGTATGATGCTAAACGTGCAGAACAGAAATCATGAAAAATGAAACCCTGTGAAATCAACCTCCTGCCTTACAGAAATAAATAAAAGCCAACAAAGGCAAAATAATAATTCTACGCGTCTTATTTACATCCTACCGTTTTATTTTACTGCCATAACAAGTGTAATTTTTTTTTACAGGTTGACTTAACAAGTGTTTACATCCTTTTTTTTGAGTGTATTTTGTTGAAAACAACCCCAAGTCAAGGTTTTATTTGTGAAAATCGTTATTTACCTACAGACCTATATTATTTATTAAATTTAGAGCACATGTGTTGGTCACCTCCGTGGTTATTTGAACGTTTTGAAGCCTGTGCGGGAGTTTTAGGGCGTTAAAAGGAGCTGGATGTGTCTGTTTGTGCGCAGCGACGCCACACCACCAAATGCAAAATGGCCACATGGTTGTAGTAACCTTCAGCTCCGCCGCCTGGATCCATCCTCTGCTTTCTGAGGGCTACAAAATGCACCCACAGAAGATCCAAACATCCCATAAGCTCGTGTCCAAACCAACAAGATTTCATCAGCTGATCAAATCTTGTTGCGGAAAATGATATTTGGGTTAAACGCGGCCACCAGCTGAACCACATGGTCTCTAAGCGCATGTTCTTACATGAAGGCTGCATTGATCTTCAAACCCCAAACTGATTATTTTTTACTGTTTTCTGCCATTTTTCCCCATTCGGTTGCTCCTCTCCAGTCAGGATGACTCCTCTGAGGTTAAACCGGGTAACCAGAGGCGCACCGTGCCTCCAGGCCTCCTGCCATACCTCCAAATGCAGGTGAATATATATTTATACATAAACAGAACAAATACTCACTCTCTCCATGTATGGAGCTTATAGTGGAGACAGAGAGCAGCAAAGCCCAAAACAAGGTCAGGCTGCCCATCGATGTGACTGAGCTCTCCTTCCAGATCATTATTTCCCACTCAGAGAAATCAGGGGGGGGGGGGAAAGGTGGGCTGAAAACTCAAAACAACACCCACTTCTTGCAAAAAAATAAATAAAACAGGAATAAGGAATTAGCCTAGAAAAGGCTACGCTTTGGCAGCCTGGTCGCCTTTCGTTCTACCTGCGTGGGAATAGATTTAAATATGATGAAATAAAACGGTTTCGTGCTATTTTTGCCAATCACTGCGCGCTCTGGCTGCTGTGGCACACAGGCCAGTGTTTATCCTGCAGAAATGATGGTAATCCCCATCTTCATTCTCCATGTCTTGGAAACAGCAGCGCGCCTCCGGTGCGTTCAGGCCTGGCGTCAACAAAACAAATGTCTGCCCCACCAGCACGCGCACAGAAACAGGTAAACACGGCGATTAAAGGTCCAACATGAAGAATCTCCTCCTGCCAGAAAGAATGGCTGAGGATGATGAGAGGGAAAACGAGGGGGGGAGGGGGGGGGAGTAAAAGATCCACAAGGGTGGTGGCTGCAAGGTTCAAAAATGAATGAAAGCCCCGTGTCTTCTCCTCCTTGTAGCTTCCAGGTTAGTCAAAGATCCCTGAGGTTGTTCTGTAGAAGCTGGTGTTCCGCGGCTCCTCTGCGCGTCAGCAGACTTGTGCCACGCAGGAGAACGGCTCTCCAGCTCTCCAAAAGCTAGACGACCTCGGCTGGGGTGGGAGGGAGCGCGCGTCCACGCATTGGCTCGTTATACTAAAAGTGCTTCTTGCCTCGGCTCTTCTTATTCCCACGCACACACGAAGAGAGTACGAGGGGGGGAGGGAGGGAATAAATATAGAAAACACGGAGTCCGGCTGCGCGTAAAGATCCAGAGGATGAAAATCACGCGGCTCGCCCTCTCGCTTCACGCAGGCTGCGGGTCTCTGTGAGCGAGTCACACAAAAACACACACATAGCTCCACGAAAAGGTGGCCCCGGAGCCGGAGGGAAAACCCGGAGTGGATCCGGTCCACGGAGCGGCTCAGGGAACGCGCAAACGAAGCGAGGTTCTGCAGAGGCGTTCTGAGGATCCAGAGACACCGGGGGCTTGTTTTTTATACACTGAATGACAATTACTAATGCGCATGCGCCGTGTCAGCAGTTTGCAACGCTAGATAAAATCATGCCTACTTCCTGTTTGATGGAACAGTCTTCTTCTCACATAAACCGTTCAGCCTTTTCTCTCAGTGGTTACTTTGATATGACCTCTGCCCGGGACTAACGCTGTTTCTTATTGGACCCTGCTGCCTTCTGTAATTACATTAATTGCTGATCGTGTTAATTTTAAAAAGATTCTTTAAAAAAATCTATCACAGATAATGGAATAAAATTGAATTGACAATTTATAATGGAAATGAAGATTGTTAACTTTGAAACTGGTGAATTTTTGTGTTTTTAATTCCTGTGTGTTTTTAAGTATTTTGTCGTTTTGTAATGCTTGTAAAATGTTATTGCGACGGTTGATTTGAAAGTTTATATTGTGAATTTGTTTTTATCTTTTGTATTTTTTTATGTCTTTGTGTATGTTTGTAAAAGCCTGGTTTAATTGCAATGTTTTTGGTGCGGACCCCCAGGAACAATAGTCTCTACTACAGTAGAAACTACTGGGGATCCTTAAATAAACAAATAAACAAACAACGTCTAAACATTCGGCTGTTTCAGCGTCTCTTCAGTCGTTCAGACACCCGGCAACATCACATGTCGCTACCACAATGTAAAATACCAAGTAAAACTCATTTTTAAAAGTTTGTATAAGCCAATAAAAAAAGCAGGTGTAAAGAACCAAACAATAAAGTTTAACACCGACTGGAAATAGTTACAATACTAACTAGAAGTGTGTCGTGCCCAAATTTACACATGCACTTAGTAACTAAAACGGTCAACGCAAAGTCATGAAGACGTTTAAAAAAAACTCGATAAGTAAAATAAAAATCTGTCTTTTTTCCCCTTTTGGCTTCTCCCTCTTCAGTGGTCCTCACTCCTTGTCCTCTAATGTCTCCCTTTTGTCTTTTCCCTGGCAGCTGCATTTCTAACATCACTGTCCCTCCTCTGGACATGTCCAAACCATCTCTCTAATTTATTTTAGTGGTTAGTGTGTCCATAAATTAAACGGTGACACCAGATCTAACCACCTCGTGTTTGTTTACAGCTGTAATCACAGAAAATAAGTCAACCAAGGCAATATCAGAAGAGGATTGGGATCAACAAGTCCTAGTTATTGGTGCATTCAGATTTACTGAGTAAAGTCTGCAGATGGAAAGATGAAATGTTGAACTCACCAATCTATAAATGTTTTAATGTAGGCTCCATCACTCCACCGCCCTGCTTTATCCACTATATTTATTCTCAACACTTGTCCTATTTTTGGTTTCTTTTTGTCCCACCTGGATGTCTTCTCCTGGACTCTGGTCTGATTCACTGTTTTCCTACACAGCAGCCAGTCTAATGGAGATCAGACGCAGGCTTCCAAACCGCTTCCTGCACATTCTGCTTCATTTTATCATTTAAATGAGCAGAATAAAGCAGAAAGAACATATATTTGATTCACTAGGTTTAAATAAGCAGAAATGAGAACAGTTATGAGAAAATTAGCTAAAAAAAGGCAGAAATTAGCTAACAATACATGAAAATAGCTGAAAAGGCAGAAGAAGGGAGTAGAATGAGCTGAAATGAGCTAAAAATATGTAATTAGCTGAAAAAGCTACATTTACCACAAGAACAGCTAAAATGTAGCTGAAATAACAAAACAAAAACCTGAAAATAGCAGAAAAAGCTGAAGGGAGCATAAGAAGCTGAAATTAGCAGAAAGAAGTTAATTAGACTGAAAGAAGCACAAATTAGCACAAAAAAGTGGAAATTGACTGAAAAGAGCTGAAATTAGCAACAATAAACACAACTGAAACGTAGCTAAAAAACAAAAAAAGAAACTGAAATTACCAGAAGAAAGTGGAGAGAACATTTTTGCTGAGTTAGGCTGAAAAAAGTTTAAATGAGTGCAAGAAATGTGGAATTAGCTGAAAAGGCTGAAATTAGACTAAAAATAGCTAAATAATAGCTAAACTAGCAGAAAAAGTTGAAACTTGCAGAAATCAGCTGAAAGGAGCAGAAAAAAGTTAGAAGCACAAAAAAATTGTAGTTAGCAGGAAGAATCTGAAAGCACAAAACAGCTGAAATCAGCTGAAATAAACTTTAAATTTGCACAAGGAAACTGAAAGAAGCTGAACCAGAACAAAATGTGGAAGGAGCAGTAAAAGGTCGTAAACAGATCAAAGATTTTGAAGGATGTAAAATGAGCTCAATTCATTTTCAGTGAGAAAAAAAAAATGTCTGAAAAGGCTAAATATTTCAAAAAGCTAAAGTTGCAGCAATATCAAGTATCATAGCAGGATTGTCCTGAAAGAGCTGAACGTTTTGATAAACTGCAGGTTCAGGCTGAATGCAGACAACAACTGTAGTTATTCATGACACCTGGCGGTGCAGAGGAAGTCACTGAAGGGATGTTTACTTTACATAATCAGTGCTGGAGTTTACAGCTTTCCCTGAAACCTCGTCATGTCTGACCACTAGCTGCTCTTTAACCACCGGCTGTGAAGCACACAATAAAAACAGACACATCAAAACGTTCATTTGTCACCAAATGTTCCACAACTTTAGATACATTTATTTGGGGGAAATGCAGAAATTGTTTTGTGTGAATAAGCAAATGTTTACAATAGATCTGTTTAGTTTGGCTCGACAAGTTGTCCAAAGCACAATCCGTTTTCTGTCAAAAATGTTTTTATTTTTCACTTTTTGCCATATAAATCACCAAAACCCCATCCACACAAAAAAACAACACAATAACAAAAAAATCCCTGAAAACGTTCTGTTCGTGAGAAGTTTGAGGCAGATAATGTTCACACTGAAGGTAAAAAGACAACAAAATGTCACCATGATTATATGATTTAAACGCTTTACATAAATATTAGAAATACAATACAGTATTTTCTTTATGATCTGAAAACTTGTTCACATTTTTCTTTCATATGCAGCTCTCATTTAAGTTAAAAACAATTTGTAAGGCCTCCCAATAATAAATAATTATTTGATTTGAAAAAATAATTTAAGTGATTAAAATTCTGCATTGCATTCACATTAATTCATTTGGAAAAGTGGATTCAACAGTGATTTCAACAAACCAAAAACATTTTATCTACAAAGTAACGATGAGTAAAAGTTGGAAATAAGCTGGTTTGTGGAATGGTTTTAAGATCAGGGGCTTGTTGTAGCTGGAATAAATTGGACAATGTTCAACAACATGATGCTTAATGCACTGAAGAAATCCTCCACTCAGTGCTGCCACACCATCCTTTGAGGAGTAAAGTAAAATGTGGCATGGAGCTGCATCCAAGCAGGAGCCGTCAGCTCCGACCTTCCATTCATCAAACACCAGAGACTGCTGACCTCCACAAGGATGTCCATTCTGAAGGTTCTGACCAGGTGAGGGGTTACACACCAAAGTCGGCTTAAAATAAGTTCACCGAACGGTGGGGAAAGTCTCAAAATCTTTACACTAAAAGTAAAATCATGACATTTTTAACCATTTGTGGATAATTTCATAGTAGTCTATGTTTACAGTCTATTTTGATAGATAGATAGATAGATAGATAGATAGATAGATAGATAGATAGAT